GAAAACAAAAGCTACCATGCCGTGTTACAGGGCTTTGGCCTCTTTATTGTCTTTTTACAGTTAATTCCACGCATAAAGGACTTCATCGAGTACTGTGGCTCTGACTATACCCCAAGTGAGGTGCTAAGGATGGAGCTGGCTATTTTGGACAAACTGCACTGGGATCTCTGTATTGGGACGCCGCTGGACTTCTTGAACATCGTGAGTACAGGGAGTTTGCAGAGTCTACCCTAGACTCATCTGTGCCTTTGGAACAGCTCACAACAAAGGACGGCCAAGCACACGCGTGCACACGTCCTTGCACATGCACCACAAAAAGGTGACCCACAAGGCTCATGACACATGGAGCAGTGAAAATGTATCTTAAATCCAACACGGTTCCACCAGACTTCCACTTCTAAAGGACATTAGAGTAACTTTACAAAGAGTTTTAGACGGCACTATTATGGTGAGTTTCTCTTAAATACACATTGCAAAAATATTTAACTTTCCATTCTATGAATACTGTACATAAAAAGCTGTCTGCTCTTGTTACACTTTACACACATTCACTTAGCTGTCTTGATTCACCTACACACAATCCTTATTGAGGCTTTAGACCATATTGATCTGGCACTTAAAAATATCATATTAGTCGGTATTTGTGTTAGTTAGGGAGTGATGGTCCTCTTCAAGGATATGATTCTGTTAGTAAGGCAAAATTATGCAGTGTGGAAATGTCATGGGGTTTTGGTTTGTTATGAGGCATGAAGATTATATCACCAAGGGCTGTTTCATTATGAAAACTGGCCACTGTTGCCAAGTTGCAGTTTCTTCTCATATCAGGCAGATACACGTAACTTTTCTGCTACTTTTCAGCATTGAAACATTGTTATCTGGGTACTTTGGGCCTCTTAAGGCCACGTGAGAAAGCAGACTGCCTTTTCTCTCCAAGGTTGAAACTCAGCTTGACCACAGAATGGGCATGAAGCCTCGAGCTCCTTGTGGGGCCGTGAATGGAAGTGAAAGGGACTGGGCAACATTTGATGCTCCCTGATGAAAATTTAAGTTGTTTGCACTTTTGGTCATTGATATATGAAAAGTATGGGGTTTTCTGTTCTAACATTAAAAACCACAATCTCCAGTTCCACGCCCTGGTGGTCGTGGGCTGGCCCCACGTGGTGGAGCTGCTGCCTCAGAGGAATCCTTCCCTCCACGTCGCGTCCCTGACCAAGCAGCCGCAGCACTGCATGGCGGGCCACCAACTGCTGCAGTTCAAGGGCTCCACACTGGCCTTGGTCATCATCACCTTAGAGTTGGAGAGGCTCATGCCCGACTGGTGTGCTCCTATATCTGATCTGCTAAAGAAAGCACAGGTAGACATCAACTTTGCCCCCAGACCAAGCTCTCAGTTTTGTTCCCTGAGCTGCCACGCTCTGTCTCCAAAAGGGGACCCATGGCCCTGCTTGGCCCTCGGCCCAAGATGCTCTGGCCATGATGACTCTGTGAAGAGTCTGCCGGAGGGTGAGGCTCTCCGCACTCTGCATGCCGTCTGGACGTGGGTATGGGATACACGCTCTCCTCACTGGGCCAGTTGGTGGGTTTCTCTGACGGTGAGAAAAGCTTTATCTCGGTGGCAGCCCTTGTAGCCAAGAGGAGGGGGGCCATGGTGTCCAGTTCAGAAGGAAGCAACCCAGAGCTTAATACTGAGGAGTGTACATTTCAGACCTCTCACCATCTATATGAGTCTATGATCCCAGGCACTGGCGGGGGGGGGAGGGGGGCGGGCGCGGGTGTCAGAATCTCTCAGGATGGACAGAGTAGGGTGGAATGGATAGTTAGACTCATGACAGTTTTACTGGGGTTGGAGATGGGTGTCCCTGAGGTGGTAAGGTTAATGTGCTTAAGTTTTGTGATTGGACCCCTTTCTGAAATTGCTCCCTGCTAACATCTGGACGCTCACCGCTCATTCCTTAGACTGTAAAGTGGTTCCGCACCAAGATGACCACTCTGTTTTAATTACAGGTCGGCACTGAGCAGTCTGTCCACTGCAGGATATTGGTAAAGCTGCAGCTGACAAGTGTTTAGTCCTCCTCCTGCACAGACAACTTTTTCTTTCACCTGCCGGCCTGCGCTCCTACCCCAGTGCCCTTCAGAGCATAATGGCAACCTCTGTTGGCCGCCTCTGAATTCTAGGCTGTATGGATTTTGTAACAAGAAAGGGAACAAGTCCTAGAAGAACAACTGAGAAAAAAGTTCCTGGGTCCTTAGAAGAAAATAAAGGGAAAAAAGGTTGGGGTCACTAGAGATAAGGACCTTTTCCCAGGGAGAATGAATGAGCGCTTATGCTGCAGCTTGGTTTTCCTTCCCCAGCAAAGGCTGGTATCAGCCCCAAGCGAGCTGGAGTATGAAGCCAGAGGAAGGCCTTGCTCAGGGCTGAAGGGCTGGGCTGGTTGTTTTTCGTTTTGTTTTGTGTGTTTTTTGTTTTAGGGCCAGGCTGGTTTTGACTGATCAGGTTTTGCTGCTCTACCCCCCAGAGCTGGCCCAGGTCCTTCCGGCCTCCCAGGCTCATAGCAAGCACATGTGCAGCACCTCAAGCCCCAGCCAGCCTGCCTGCCACTGCAAAAATAGGACAGTCCCTCCAGATACAGTTACCCTGATATGGCCATGACTTATGTCTTCTCTTCCCAAGGACTGTATTATAAAGTACGCTTTGTTTAATGTATGATAATTTGATCAAGCTTTAAGAATATTTGCCCTTACTCTTAAGCAATGTCGTTGATCGGCATAACTAGAGAAATTTTTACGCTGAAGAATATTACAAGGTGTGACCCCTGTGATGGGAGGTGCAGCTCCAAGAGCTTTTGTTGAGATGAGCAGGTTCTGAGGCCGAGCCTGCTCCAACCACAGTGCTGCCAGAGGAGGAAGAGGAGGAGGAGGAGGTGATTGGCATGGCTGTGAGGGAGACGCCAGCTGCCTCTCTGAAGCTGGGACACTATAGAGCCATTTTTTAAGCAGTGGAGTCCAGCTGGCAGAGATGCCAGCTGGAGCTGTGTAAGTAGTGTTGGGATGTGAATGACTGAGCCACACATTTAGAGGTGGTTTGTGAAGTCTTTCCAATGTGAACAGTTTTTGTAAATGTGCTAAGCCATGGGATGTATGACCTGCTACTGGGTGCAAAGTGCTCAAGGCCCAGATCGTCTATAATAGTTGTCTGCACTGTAGTCAGTACCAATCCTGACCTTTTCTTGAAAAAATGTGCTTGTTGGAGCTTTTGTTAAAATAAACTTTAAGTCCTTGCAACCCTGTCTGAATATTTTACATATAGTGGGTACCATGCACTTAGACTTGCTAGAGTCAGGCACCGTTGGAATACCATCTCCTGGGCCCCATCAATAATTGTCCTCAGCACAGATGGAGATGCCAGGAGCAGCATGTAGCTCATGGTCACACCTCTCATCAGTGGCCAAGACTGTCCTCTGCCTCCTCCCCTCCACTGTCAGTGGGCACCGCAGTGGGTGGAGTGGGGCTCACCATGAGCGCCCACACCAGCTCAGGCTACCTTTGACTTTGGGGAACTGGTGGGAGGTATCTGGACCTCTTAGATGGGTAGCTCTGGATGTAAGCTGAGTCCTTAGAGTGAATCCAACTCTGAATTTCAAAAGAGAAGGTAGATCTGTGAAGCCCAGTATTGGGCTAAAGGACAGCCTTGTGGCTCCATCTTTCTGTAAATAAAATTCCTCTTCTTTGGGGAAGCAAACTTCTATATTGCCTAAGTACCATTTATAAGTTAAAAATTTTTTTTTGATGCTATTCAATATTGAGCTGGGGTCCCATCTACTCTCCTCTAACATTTCCTTCTTTTCTTTCTTTCTCTCCCTCTCTCTCTCTCTTTTTTTTTAAATTAGGAACTCATATTCCACCTCAGATCAGAGATTGGGAATCATTGTGGTGGGAGAAATATGGACACAATCCATCTTCCTTTTTTCACCCAACACAGAAGGACTGTGGCTGCAGAAAATGGAGAGGGGAGAAGGCTCAGACGGGCTAAGGGAAGTGCAGGGTTGGTGGGCATCATGTACCTATCTTAAACTTGTCCAAATATTTCTTCCCTCTAATGGGTGAGCCGAGTTGTACAGTGCTGTCCCCTTCACCAACAAGGCCCTTCTCCCCTGGCTTCGAGGAGAATCTGTCATTCAAATCTCGGTGAAGACTTTCCTCCCTGCTCCTTGCCTCCCGGGGGTGGAGTTGAGCTGTACCTTCATTAGGGGTGTCTGCATACCAGTCTCCCTGCTGGGCTGTCAGCTCCCCAGACTTTAGTCCCAACCTCATTTTGGTCTTCACAGAGATTAGTCTAGTGCCCAACAGAGAAAACTCAACAAACGGACCCATGCGCTTGTCATCACTTCCTTCAACCACAAAACTACCTTCCTTAACCAAATATCTGCCTGCCTACCACGGCATCCCACCTCTACAAAACCATCTCAGGCCCATCCACCCACACTCAGACTGAACACTTTCATACTGGCTGCATTTCCACTGTTCTCCCAGCATTCATAAGGTTGCCAAAGAGCAGCTACAGCTCACGAATTAAGGGTATAGGTTACCAATACTCCAATCCCAATACCTCCAAGTTATTAGCTGTGTGACCTTGGGTAATTAATTAACCTCTCTGTGCTTAGGTATGAAATGGGGGAAATGGTACTTAGTCATAAAATTATAAGTTTAGAGGGATTAATGCATGTCATGTACTTTGGAGCAACGCCTGGCACACAATAAGAACTCAGGTATTAGCGGTCCCATGTCAAGCCTCTTCCACAAGGGTGTAAACTCTTCAAGGGCAGGGTTTGCCTTCTTCGTGTCCTGCATAATCCCTGTCATTCCTATAGAAGCTGATCCACCCCACAACGTTCACAGAAAAGACAAGCTGTATTTTACCACAGTGGTAGCAGATTAATAGGCTAGAAAACTTGTTAAATCAGAAAAGCTACAGCCCAAAAAAGACACCACAAAAAAAAAACTCAAAATAAATGCAAAATTTAATGGGGGGAGAAAACAAGTACAAAGTGAATGGAAAGGAACAAAAACAGTCAATGAATGAAGGAGTAAATGAATTGACAAGGGGAGCGTTTTAGAAAAGCATGTTAACGTAACAGACTAGCAAGCCACACTTCCCTCAGGCCCCTTATCCAGTAATGTGAGCCCCACTTAACAGGGAACCCACACAGAGGCATGAAAACATCCATGCAGTCAGTCTGCACCATTACAAACCACCTAGGCTCCGGTTCCCCATAACTGGGGTGACCAGACTTCCCGGTTTGCCTGAGATAGTTCTGGCTTACGCCTGTTGAGCTGGAATAATTAACAGCATCTCCTTTCACTCTGAAACCTCTCCGTTTGGACAATAAATTATATGGTGATTCTCCCCCAAACCAACTTGATTCTTGAAAGACAAATGCCAGCATGATCCCACTGACAGCCCAAATAATGCCAATCAATGATACTGAGAAACAAGAGGAGAGGGAAACAGACTCTGCGGGCAGGGGCCACATTCCATGAGGGGTAGCCAGTTAAATAATGGCAAGTTTTAAACTCACCTTGTGCACCAAGGATTAATTTGGTCTCAGCTAATGATGACAAAATTCCAAACACACAGCGCAGGGAAAGAAGTGTAGTGAGGTTCGCCAAAGCTAATGAAACCTGTGGAGGCAGCTCAGACCCCAGAAAGTGCAATTGGAACCAGCCACCATCTGGCCTTCCAGCATGCCCCGGGAGTGGCCCGCCGGCCATGGTGAATGGGTGGCAGAATCTGCCCACTCGAGTCCCCAAATGGGCTCATAAACCAGGAGTCCTCATTTCTTATAAAACGAGTGAATCCACTGGGTCATCGAGGATGAGTCCTCAGAAATACATTAGCTGACAGCGGCTATATCTTCAGGTCATACTTCTGCCCAAGTTATACTTTCACATACTGACTCTAAAGACAAGCCACATCTGCCTTAGATATGCTAACTTTGCCTGTTTGGATACCCACATGATCACAACCAGAGGTGGATGTCCTGGGAGGCTAATGAAGCCCAGTCCTCAAGGCCCCGTACCTAATTGTGTGTTCATGTTCTTCTTGAAGAAGGCTTCTCCAATAGTTCAGGTTCCTACCCCTTCAAAATCTGGATCCACCATGGTCATGGCATAACACTGGGAGAACTTACACTTTGAGCACCAATAACACCTGCTCTGCTCCTGGCACGTGGAGCCCCTCAGGTGCAAAGGCTGCCTTTTTCTGGCCATGCCTCAGTGGACACAGGTGGCTCACCCCTCCTCCCCACTCTGAATGGAGCACCATCTCAGAAGGGCAGGAGGAAGCCAAGACATGGTCCTGCAAATCAATAAAGCAGGCAATGGGGGGCTCAGGGGGAGGAAGAGGACATGAAAAACAAACTATCAACCCCAAATCAATCAGCACGGCTGCCGAAGCTTCCAGCCCGGGAGTGCACTAGGCTGATGTCCTCGAGAGGTGGGCTGCGTGTTACTCTGGAGCCCGTGCCCAGCACAGTGCTTCATCAACATTCAACAGAATCCTTCCCTCCTTTCATTCATTTCTTGTCTCCCATTTTATCAGCCATATTGTCAACCCTGATCCTCTGGGTGGCTTGCCAACCAACAGGAACATAGAAGAATCAATGATGCTAGTACTTTCTTAAAACAACCCCCTTAAGAATGCAGCTGAAAGGGAAAAGCTCTTTGCTGGTAGTTTTTTCTTAAACTGTCCACAGACATCAGACACCTTCATCTTTTGCCCTGTGACTCAGCCAGGAAAAAAGGAAAGAAGGACCTTGAGATAAAAAACCTCTTCCCGGCTGAGCACTTTGTGCCTTAGGAACACGCAGGACTGGTTTGGGAGTCTTAGTCCGAATAAAATACACTTAACACACACGGAGTTGGTCCCTGTTTACAGGTAGCACCTCAGGGGCACAGACAAGGGCTTGGGGCTGCTGTTCCATTTACATTCACAGTGAAAACTCTGGACGTGGTCTTGTTCATGTTCCACTTTCATCCGTAAAGAAATTCCAAACACCGTCATTACAGGATGTTTATTACCACCTCTCCCTATATATTATAGGGATACTTTTACATAAAAAAAGGCTGAGATATTTTTAGTTTTTAAAAATCGGGGTATCTGTGTTACGTATGAAAATAATGGGAGAGGGTATTATTTGTCTTTACGCTTGTGACAAAATAAAAATTTAGAAGTGTTTTAAAAGTTGTTATTGAAATTAAACTCTAGGTTAGAAAAATTAAAACAAAGTGAATCGGGCAAATTTTTGCAGCATGTATACCACACCACACGGCCACACCTAAGGCACCACATGAGTTGCCATCTTGACGCTGAACAATTAGGCCGAGCATCGCCTTTGCTACAGCGGCACATAACTGCTCCGTCAAGGAATAGTGACACTGTAAATGGAAGACCAGCCACTGGCTCTGAAAAAAATAAACCTCGTCAGTTTGGGATTCCAGCATTCGTATGGCTTTGTCATGTTTGCATAGAGAGGGGGGTGGCCTGCCAGGCCCAGACAGCCTGGGGCGGGGGTGGGGACAGAGCAAGGCTGTAAACACTGGAGTCTGTACCGGCTCCCAGTCCGTCCTCACACCATGTTATGGGAGAAGGGTCACAAGGTGTAACTCAAGCAACTTAACACATGAAAGTCTAAAGTCCGCTCTTGACATGTAAGTCTGTGCGTGCGTTAACTGAAAAATAAAAATAAAACAAACAGAACAAAAACAGACACATTAAAAGATACGCAGACGACCAAATCAAACAGAATCAAAAGACAGCAAGATGGACACTGGGAAAGGGCAGTCAGTTTGGCATTTTGTCACGAGTAAAGCAGAGAATTCGCTTCAGTTTGTGTAGTCCCAGGCTGAGGGTCAAGATCTGATTGGGAAATAATTTTGCAAAATATGGATTAAAATTTAAAGAATAAATACAACCAATCAAAGCCATTTAACTAAATGGTCATAAGTGCCCCCTCCCTCCCCCACAAAGGCACTCCTGACTCACCCCGCTCCCCTGACCAGGGCGGGAGGGAAGGGTGCTCCCAGCCACCCCACCTATACCACTCCTGGCCTCCACAAGGCCAGCCCGGGAGGAGAGCTCTCTCTCCCAGAGGCCAAACTGACTGAAGCTTTCTGGCATGTCCAGTAAACAGAAAAGACTTGTTTTTCAGGCCCAGGCCACACGGGATAAGCAAGGACCTGGCACCAGTGTCCAGCCCCCACCCTGAGAGCTGTGCCGGTCCCATGCAGGCAGCCTGCGCCCACTCACTGGTCCTCAGACCCTGACCTGGCCACAGGTCCTTGTCTTCGTTTCTGAGTGGTTTCTCCATCGCTTATTTTCTAGGGGGACTCTGCCTGACTTTTCTCTATGGCCTGGGCCACGCTGGCAGGGAGCGGGACAAAGTCACTTTGGGTGTCAGCACCTGAGTCATAGACCTGTGTACCCCCTTCCAGGAAAAAACAGATTTCTGAGCCACTAGCTTGTAATCCACACAGATTCCAATTAACAGAGTCCCCACACCCATCAAGCCAAGAGCTGGACAGGGAATGAGGGCTGCAAGCAAAAGCCAAGCAGAGGGGAAATCCATGTGGCTGAGGGGAGTGTGGGGCTGTGTGCTCCCTGGGGCCAGGCAGGGGCTCATGAGTCCCAGCAGTTGGGATGGGACCACCAGTCAGCCGGATGGGGGAGGCAATGGAAGAGAGGAGGGTCCGTTCCAATGCAGAGAGCAGGCCTTAGGAATGAGAACTGGCACCCAATTCCTAAATGCCTGGCTTTGTCCCCCTCGTCTCCCCCAGGGAGAAACTCTCCCAGTTTCATTTCCTTAGATGTGTCTGTGCTTCTGTGCATGCGTGTCTGGGGATGGGGTGTATTGGCAGGTATGTGCCTGAGCCTGTGTATGTGATGAGGCAGGAGAGAAAGATAGTGTACGCGTACATGTATGTGTGTTCATGGGGGCGTGTTTTGGGGAATGTAATAAAGCTATGCACTGCATGGCCTTCATCATGGGGCTCCACTGCCACCAAGAAAGGAAGGGCCTGGTACACACACTCCCAAACATTTCAGGAGGAAACAGGATACCTGCTTAGTTCCTAGGTTGGCAAGGAAGGAAGGTGCCTGACACAGGCCAGGGGCTGGGAGATGCAGGGATGGGCGAGATCCCCACAGTGTGATGTGGTGGGGGGCACTGAGTGAAGTGAGTGGGGGAGGGAGATTCCCAGGAGCCAGGGCATCTGGACTCCAACTGAAAGGGTGGAAACAGGCCATGAAAAAAAAAAATACCAAGGAAAGGGGGCTCCGAGATGCCTGCACCTGGCCAACCTGTTGACTGACTCCTGGAGGCTGGGAAAAGTCCCCTCGCCATCCCCCCTTCTTCTTTCTCTCTGAGTCTACTCTCAGGAGAAAGACCTCCAGCCTCTACTTGAGGGGCGGCCCCTTCCCCACCCGGGAGCTTCTGTCCTTCCTTCAGCCAGGAAGTGATCATGGGGTTCAGGGGGGTCAGTGCTGGCTGGGATCAAGTCTCCGCTGTTCTCAGTCACCACCTGCCAGCCAGGGGTGGGGGAAGGGGAAAGCACCACAGCTGTCCAAGCAGAAACCACAGGAGCTTTTGGAATCTGTCAGGAAATGCTGACCTTCCCAGGCCCTGTCTTCTGGCCTGAAAGACCTGCCCTGAGACCCCTACACACTCTCTGGGGCCACTCCCTGCCTGTGTGGCCCAGCCTTCACCACCCCAGCTCTGTGGAGGCTGCAGGAAAATGAGACGAGGGAGGGAGGGAGGGAGGGGAGGAGGGAGAGAGAAAGAGAGACATTTGTGCAAGAGTGCGCAAATACCTGATATCTTGAGATATCGAGATCACTAGTGAAAAAGAAAGGTGAGCAAGAAGGAGGTGAAAGGGCAAGTGGAAATGAGAGGGAAATGGTAAAACAAGCAAGAGTAAGTGAGAATGAAAGTCAGCGTGAAGGAGCGGAGGGAGGGACAGGGTGCGAGCCCAGGAGAGAGCGAGAGCCAGGGCAGCGCAGGGGGCCCACACCTACTTCTTGTCCTTGTCCTTCCGCAGAGGCTGCTGCAAGGCGGTGTGCAAGGCCTGAGGCCGCAGGGCCTCCAGGGCGGCCCGCCTGCGGTGGAAGGCGTTGGTCTCCTCCTCCAGCTCCCGGCGCTTCCCCTCCACCTTGCGTTTCTCCTCCTGGTGGACCCGCTTGAGGTGCTCAAACTTCTCGTGGAGCTGGAGCAGAAGCGGGGAGTCGGGCGTCCGTGTGGGCCGCCCAGCCAGGCCCGGCCTCACCCCGGAACCCAGCCCGACACTCACCTCCCTTTCCTTTTCCTTCAGCTCCAGCTCTGTCTCCTTCACTTTGTTGACGAACATCTGCCTCATCTCCTCCTCCTTCCTCTGCAGCTCACTCAGGAACTCCTTCCTTTTGGCCTCGTATGTTTCCTGCAGGCTGTGGAGACCCAGAGAAAAGAGACCGGGGTGGGATTAAAGCGGGGTGGGGCGGCAGAGCCCGAGAAGCCGAATCATGTGAGCGCTGGGGGCGGGAGGGTGCGGGATCCCGACAGCCTCACTCCCTGGCTCACGAGACCCCAGAAGCAGATGCCAGCACGGCAAGTGTGGCTGAGGCTGGGAAGACAGGTCCGCTCTGTGTTCAGGACGTCACCTGAAGGGCTGGCTGTCCCCATCGCTGTCCTGGAAGCCCATCTCCTCCAACTTGCAGCGCCGGTAGAGCTCGTAGTGCCGACTGTGGGTCTGCTCGCGGAGGTCCTCCATGTTCACCCGGATCAGCATCTCCCGCAGCTTCACAAAGTCGCAGTGATTCTCGTTCTCCACTGCAAGCAGAGGGCACACGGGCGTCAGGCTGGCACGTGGATGGGCACAGGAGGACAGGGCACAGGACAGCAGCAGACTCCAGAGGCAGGACAGGCAACAGGGGGGCACAGGGAGGGCACAGGACGGGGGCTACAGGCAGCAGGCAGGACAGGGGACTAAGTTTGGGCCCCCAGCTGGGGATGTGCTCTCCCCCCACAACACTCACCCTGCACCACTCCCCACGGGTACTGCCGTGCTCGGACCAGCTTGTTCCCCACCTTCACCTCCTCGGTGCTGCCCACCACGGCGAAGGGCAGGTGTGCCTGGAAAGGGGCCCAAGGACATGTGAGCTGAACAAGGTCTGGCCAGATGCTCACTTTCCGGCTATCTTTTTTATAAGTATCCTGGGACCTCCAAACAAGGGACCGGGCTAAACCCACAAACCTCCTTCCTCGTGTTCTAGGGTGTTCTTTCAGCCCTTGGGCTCCCCAGGGGCCATTAGAAGCTCCCTCAGAGGGCTGTGGGCCTTGCTCTTCCTTAAGTTCCCAGCACTGGCATCCTGCCTGCTCACTCCTACAGGTTTCAGGTCCCCACCCTGACTCCCTATCTTGTGAAACTCAACTCTGGGGAAGCCCCAGTACCAGCCCAATACCCAACTCCTCCTGTCCCTTGTCCACAGGACTTGGCCAGCTCCCAGATGCCCACCCACCTCTCCTGGAGAAGGAGAGGCTGAAATCCTGGGGAAGAAGTCCCCCAGGGCTGTGTCCGAGATCTGTGCTGCCTGCAGGCCCTCTGGCCCCACAGTCCTGAGGCCCTTGCCCAACACTCACATTCATGACTGCATTAATCTCTGCAACTGCCTCGTCATCAGTGGGAAACTGGTAGATCTGGACCCCATTGCTGACCAACTCGCCCATGATCTTGATCTTGAACTTGTGGAGCTCACTCTTGGAGATGGTGTCAGCCTTGGCAATGATGGGAATAATGTTAACCTGCCAGGATCAGGCGAGAGGGGGCAGCATGTTAGTTATTCCCTGACTGTGGACAGCCCTGCGCAGGCCACAACCCTGGGCAGAGGGCAGGAAGCAAGAGAGATAGAGCTGCTCCATGGGGAGGCCCGGCCTGCACCCAGCCACCTGGGGCCATACTGATGGGTTGTAGCAGCACTTCTTAGAGCCCCTATTCCCCCAAACCCACCCCCAAATTAGTCTCCTGGGCATACTCAGCTTTGACCCAGAGTTCTCTAAAGGTCTTAACGGGCCTGGGACATGATACAAGCAGCGGTGGAGGGCTGAGCTCCCACCTAAGCAGGTAAGATGACCCATCAGCAGTAGCCACAGGAAGACCTCAAAATCTCGAGGGCTACAGTTACCCCATTTTCACAGTGAAAATGAACTCCTGAGATGGGAGGGCAGTCACGTTGCTGACAGTGGACGTCTTCAAGGGCCAAAGCCCTTCCCATCGTCCCCATGAAGCTGCCCTCTTAGTCCTCACTCAATTCTGGGCCTTAACTCTCCTCTCCCGAGTGGGCTCAGGAGACCCAAGGGAAATCCATGGCAGGAAAGACAGGGGAAGTGAAGGGAACAGAGGAACTAGGAGTTGAGAGAGAGGAAATGAGCAGAGAATTGGGATGCTCTGGGGAGAGGGTCAGAGGGTCGAGGACGGAGAGGAGGCCAGGAGCCAGCAGGCTGAGAATAAGAATTTAGCCGGCATATAAGCATAACCAATGGACACAAACACGAGGGGAGTAAGGGCCTGTGCTGGGGGGCAGGAGCGGATGGGGAGAGGTCAATGGGGAGAAAGGGGGACATATATAATACTTTCAACAATAAAGAATTTAAATTAAAAAAAAAAAAAAGGAATTCAGCTGGAAGGAAGGGGCTGAGGGCCAGACCCGGGGGACAGAGCTCTGGAGAAAAAACCCAAAGCAGGGTGTGCCCACCGGAGGAGTAGGGACAAAGAGAAAAGAGAGAGGACCGAGTCAAGGGGGCTATCTGCTGCAGGCCTCCAAGCCGCAGAGCCCTGGGGACTGTGATGGACAGTCACACGGCAGCCGGCACACCCAACCCCAGCGGAGGACTGTGGAGCCCAGGGAACAAGTTGGGGGGCGGGGGCGGGGGCGGGGGGCCAGTGGTGAAGCACACCTTGCTGTCTAGCTTCTTCATGGTCACCAGATCCAGGGACTTGAGGGAGTGGCCGGTGGGCGTGATGAAGTAGAGGCACACGTGGATCCTCGTGTCATGGTAGTCGAAGAGCGAGCGGCGGATCTTCAGCTCCTCCTGCAGGTAATTTTCAAACTGCGCATCGATGTAGTCGACGATGGGCCTGTAACTACAGACAGCTCCATCACCTAGGAGGCAGGCAGCTGAGCCTCACCGCGGGGGCTTGGAGCTCCGTCTGGACCCCTTCTCCTGATTCTTAAAGGGTCCCCAGGACTTCCGCGATTCCCCGACAGGCCCTCCCCTGGCCCCCGTGGGGTGTGGGGCTTGGTTATTCACATGGGGACAGATGGCAGTGAGGAGTGCTCGGGCAGAGGGTTAGAGCCACGGCCAACAAGGGTGGGACAGGGGATGAGGTTGGGGGAGCCGCCCTTCCCGCCTCTTGCCTCTCATCCTTATTGATCTGATCCCCGAAGCCCACAGCATCCACGATGGTCAGCTTGAGGTGCACGTTGCTCTCTTGGAGGTCGTAGGTCTGGGGCCGCAGGCGCACACATTCCTCGTGGTGACTGGCTTCCTCGGTCTCGAAGGTCGTGTTGAAGAGCGTGTTCATCAGTGTGGACTTGCCGATGCCGGTCTCCCCTGGGAGTGGGCGGTGGAGGGGAAGGGAGGTCAGAGGCCGGAACTGGGGCTGCCCCTGGCTGTTGGCTAGGCTGGGTGGGGCTCAGGCATCCTCAGCCTCCACAGAAGAGAAAGGGGCTGGCCTCCCACTGCATCCCTCACTGACCCTGTCCCCAGGAACCATCCCTTCTCCGTGGCCTCAGAAATAACGTGTGGAAGGAAGAGTCATAGGCTGACGTGGACATGACATGTGGCTGTGCGGAATGTAAGATGTTTCCTCAGGGAGGGGGAGAGGCAGAGCCAGGCAGCTGTGACGCTGCTGGACACTGACCTTTGCTGGCCTCAAGGGGACCCAGTCACCTGTTCTGCATGCCATCCCTTCCAGAGCCAGGATGGTCCTGGGGCCAGCAGGGCCTGGGTCTGAAGCCCAAGGAGACTTGGCCCGGCTGCTCTGGGCGGCCCCCGCACCGTTGGCTTTAAGTGGGGTTGAGGAAAGCTGCTTCCCAAGGGGCACCCACAGCCCGGCAGATGCTAAGGCTTAGGCACCCGTGATCTGGCCGAGCGCTTTGTGCCTCTGGGAGTTCCCATGCCCGGAGGCGCGTGGCCTCCCCCAGAGCCTCCCCGTTTGGGGCTGTACTTGTTCAGATGTGTGTGGGAGCTCTCAGTGCATGATGCTAGGATGGGGGAGAGTCTTGTTCGCCATGGAGTCCTAGACACATAGTGGGAACAAGTCAATGTGTTTTAAGTAAACAAACCACCTAAATCTCTGTGATAAATACTCCGTTTACAAAGCACCTTCACATGCCCAATCCTGTTTACTCTTCAAGGCAACTCTGAGTCAGGCCTGGGCTCCAACTCTGTCCTTGATCGTGGCAGAGGCACCAACCAAAACCTCATTCTGAACTCCCAAAGTGTGACTCTGCCTGGGAGGTCCCCTTGCAGCTCAACAGGTGGCCAGGGCAGCAGTACCCATCTCCCAGAAGGCCCTCGTCTGTCCTCTGTCTGAGGCTGCCCCCTGGCCAGACCATGATACACTTACCCACACAGAGGATGTTGAAGCTGAAGCCCTGAGTGACCGACTTGCTGACCAGCTGGTCGGGGAGGCTGTCGAAGCCCACATGGCCGCCCAGGGAGAGGCTCCGGGGCTCTGGCTCTGCGTTCTGCTGAGAGAGAAACAGAGCGAGGCAGTGAGCCCACTGGGGACGTGGGGACAAGCTGGGTGAGGATAAACCTGAGTTAGAACCCCCATCTGAATTCTCAGCAAATCTCAGGACACAACACAAGTACACCAGAGCTCCGATTCCAGGCCAGGTTCCCACAGAGAGAGCCCAAGGGTCCTCAAGGCCCCTGAATCCGTCTCAGAAAAGGCCCTTAAACCCATGGTTCTGCTCCACCTGGGCTGGCAAGGGATGCTGGGGCCTAGGGCATCTCCTAGCTACTGCCTCTGAGGGCTTACCCGTCCTTCTGCCCAGAAGGAGGCCCCAGAAGGTCCCTGATTCTTAAATAAAGATTTTAGCCGTAACCGGTTTGGCTCAGTAGACAGAGCATCGGCCTGCGGACTGAAAGGTCCCAGGTTCGATTCTGGCTAAGGGCATGTATCTTGGTTGCGGGCACATTCCCAGTGGGGCGTGTGCAGGAGGCAGTGATCGGTGTTTCTCTCTCATCGATGTTTCTGACTCTCTATCCCTCTCCCTTCCTCTCTGTAAAAAATCAATAAAATATATTATTTAAAAAAAAATAAAGGCCGTAACCGGTTTGGCTCAGTGGATAGAGCGTCGGCCTGCGGACTGAAGGGTCCCAGTTTCAATTCCGGTCAAGGGCATGTACCTTGGTTGCGGGCACATCCCTGGCGGGAGGTGTGCAGGAGGCAGCTGATCGATGTTTCTCTCTCATCGATGTTTCTAGCTCTCTATCTCTCTCCCTTCCTCTCTGTAAAAAATCAATAAAATATATTTTAAAAAAGAAAAAAAAAAAGATTTTAAGAGGCCAAGACTGAAGAGTATTATGTTCTTGGGGTCCCCTCTCAGACCTTCTAGACCAGCGGTTCTCAACCTTCCTAATGCCGCGACCCTTTAATACAGTTCCTCATGTTGTGGTCACCCCCAAGTTCATTGTTACAAATTGAACATAGTTAAAGCATAGTGATTATCACAAAAACAATATGTAATTATATATGTGTTTTCCGATGGTCTTAGGCCACCCCTGTGAAAGGGTCGTTCGACCCCCAAAGGGGTCGCGACCCACAGGTTAAGAACTGCTGTTCTAGACCCTCCTACTCAAGTAGGACTAAAGCAGAGGCAGGTCTGGCTCTAACCCTCACTCAAGCTCCATGTAGGGACCTCTACGTACACCCCTTGTTTCTGATACACCCAAGTGTGGAATGCACACATGGGCCCTGCTAAAGGGGCTGGTGCTCACTCGGACCCACCACGGGATCTCAGAGCCAGTCTCCAAGGCATCATGGCCCTGAGGCCTCCTCCTCTTGCCTCAGTGGGGTTCTCTAGGGACCCTCAGGCTCTGGTTCATGCCACCCTCTCCCCCCACCTCACCTCTGGTTGTTTAGGAAAAGATTCGGATGAGAATGTGGAGACCTGGCCTTAGCAGAGAGGCAGGCGGCAGGTCCCAAGTAGCCTGGGGCCACGAGAGCAGGCCCACACACTGTAAAAAGAAACCACCACAACCCAAAGCAGAGAGTCAAGGTCAGACTCCAATTCGCATGGCTACCCTGGGAATGGGGGCAAATGCTGTCTCCCGAGAGGAAATTCCCAGGCTCAGCCTTCCTGGGTTTGGCCCCTCTGGAGGGCAGGCCCCAGGCAGCTCCATGGTGGGCAGAAACACGCCTCCTCCATGCCCAGCCGCCCTGCCCTGACTGCCCGCTTCAAAGAACAAGACAGGAAAGGGCAGTGGTCGGAGTCCCATCCTGCCATCCTGCCATCCTGCCCACAACACTAGAGGGGAGGAAACAGGCCCAACTGAGAGCAGCCCCAGGCGCTACTGATTAGGACAATGGCAGCCCTTATGCAAAGCAGATACAGGCACAGTGGCAGAGGGGCCCTGGCTCCCTGCCCTCCCGCAGAGGGGTGGCCCCAGCACCTGAGCTCTCCCTGACCTCTCTGCAGCCCAACCTGTTGCCTCAGCCAGAAGCCTTCCAACCATTCTTTCCTCTCAACCAGAACCCCCTGGCACTCACACCAACCTTCTCTTCTCCACTAATTATGTCCCCCCACCCCCCAATCTCACCCCAGCTAAGTCACTGTAGCCCTGCATCGATGACTCCCAAGTGTGTGTGTTGCCAGCCCAAACCCATGTGGCCCCCTCTGGGCAGTTATACTGTCCTCTCTAAAAGTCAGGGTTACCCCTAAACCTGCTCTCTCCAATGACCCTTTCTCAACTGGCCTCTATTCTTGTAGCTGGCCCTTTTCCCTATCCCCTGTCCCCAGTGACCATGTCACAACCTCCCCACTCAAGCCCAGGTCCCCAAACATAACCCAACAAAGAGGCCCCAAGGCAGATTCCCATCACTAGTGCCCACATCAAATACAGTAAATGGAGCATGGGATGTGCTGGGTCAGGACCAAACCCCCTAGCATGGCATTCCGGCCCTTCACACAGTCTGAAGCCTTTCTCATGAGCTCAGTTCCGCCCAGCTGGTTACCTCTGAGTTCACTTTCCAAACTCGGCCCCTTCCCTAGGCTCCAGAGTTCACTCTACCTTTTCCCTGGCACGTGCTCTGACCTGGCCCCTAAGAACTTACATTCCTGACCCCTCGCTTGGCAGTGACACCATTTCCTTGCACTGTTAGCTGTCCTTTTTCTGTTGTTGTTAATGCATCCTGGTTCTCCATCTCTTCAATAAACTCCTTGAACTTGGCTGCAGGCTGGGGGAGTCAGGTTTTCCATCCTCCCCCCCCCCCACTATGCCCAGCATGCTAGACAACCCGACCATTTATAAATTAGACAACGCAGTCCTCAACCGCTACAACATGAGGGCTGTCTGCCCACCTCACACCGAGCTGCACTATCTAGTCTCTGTTCTACCTGCTCGTGGCAGCCTGAGGGTCGAATGGAGGACAGAACAGTTCGTCTAGAGCTTTTTTCTTTTCAGGCGAGACTGAAGGCGTGCTGTGCTTGCAGTATTTATTCATCCTTTCATTCCAAGGGTGACACAATCAGGATGCAATCCAACATCCTATAGTCTGCCGTCAAAACTCCCGGTCATGTGTCTGGGAACCACAGGTGTGCGCATACACTCTGAGGCAGAGTGCCTGCACAGAACCAGAGGCCACCCTGTTCCTGGGTGTCCCCTCATTCTCACAGTTCCAGGCTCCAGACGCTAAAAGCAAGGCAGTTACCACATGAGCCATCTCTCCACGCTCAGCAAGCCTGGCTGTCCTCACTCACATAGCGTAGTTCCCTCTGGGGACGCATGTGGAGTGCAGGGAGGTCTTCATCCCCAACTTGTCCCGGCTGCACCCTGTCACTCCAGGGCCCACAGCCCTGGGGCAATCAATGCCTGCCCAGGCGCCTCAGGGACCATGGGAGTGCCCATCTCCAGAGCCTGCATGTACACACACACACACACACACACACACACACACACAGAAGAATGGCCACTGGCCCTGACGGAGACTGAGTGCTAATCCCTGGTTTCAGAAGACCGATCTGACCTCCCTGCTCGGTAATTCGCTAATGCCAACCTCCCTGATCCTATATTTGGCATCAATAACATCTGATCCAAGGTGCCCCGCTTGTTCTGACACCCCAGGTGTCTCTGCTGACCTTTGTGGGATCCCAGTCTAGGAGGAGCCAGCAGCTTCCAATGCGTCACTGGCACATCTCAGCTGGCACAACTCAGAAAGAACCTTCATGTCCCCCACTGGCTACCTGGCTATCAGCCCTGCACTCTGGCAGGTAAGACCAGTTCCAACTCTGGGGGTGGGGCCTAATAGTCCTGAGCTAATCAGCATAATTCTACAATTGGTTCAGGAACAGGCACATGACCCAAGTTCATGACCATCTTGTGACCACTAGAGGAGCTAGCCTAAAGCTGAAGCCCACTCAGAGGATGGCTGATTCCAGAAAATCCCAGAGGAGAGAGCCAGTGTCTTCCCTCCCTGTGGGCATGTCCCTTGACCCCTGGCCATATCTCCCCTTTACTGCTTAAGCTAGCTGAGTAGGGCTATCTATGTCTTACAACTGAAAGCATCTTGACTGCTACAGTCTCCAAATGAAACTCTTTGAATGGCGAAGGATGGGGGGCGGGCAGAGTGTGAAAAGTAAAATGTCTCAGGGTTTACAACCAAAAGAAGAAACATCAAATGATGACACCACCACCTCGCTGAGGACCACTTGTGAAAATAAGCCAAGCGATCTTACAGTCTCCTACACAGTCCACTCCATCCTGTGTGGCAAACACTTACTATCCCCATTTATAGGTAAGGAAACTGAGGTACACAGAAGCTGGAGAACTAGTCAGGGCAGAGCAGGGGTGTGAGAGCAGCCAAGCCCTTGCCACAAACCACTCGGCGATACTGACTCTCCCAACTCATTCATTCAGTCACTCAACACACGCTCACTAGGCACACCCGCCGTGTGCCAAACTCCAGGATGGCTGCCAATGAAAAGATGAGGACAGCGGATTCTTGACCTCAGAGGCCCAATCTAAGTCAGTCTAAACTCAAAAGGCTATAGAGGCCACACAGGTGATGTAAATGGGTGAAAGGGAACCGTACAGTAAAAACAACATCAGCTAACAGTTATCGAGTGCTTACCATGCATGACTCTAATCTCTTTTAGTCCATACATCGGCCCGATGAGGTAGGCTGCAATATTATCACTATTGTACAGATGAGACCATTGAGCCACCAAGAGATTAAGCAATTTTCCCAAGACCACACTGCTCAGAAAGGTGCAGCCAGGATCTGAATGGACCCACACCTCCAGCCACATAACTCCACTGCTGACATAGCAGAGTGTGGGGTCCCCCAGGGAAAGGTGGGAACAGTGGGGAACGGCAGAGCCTCTGCTCAGTCCACACCGGCCATGATTCTGCAACTCCAGCCAAATGTGGGAATGCAGACCTTGTATTGCCATATCTTCCAATTTTTCATGAGAATCCAGATATCTAGATTTTTTTAAAAAACTAATATGACTTTTAGGCC